CTGCAGGAGGTTGTGACCCTATTCGTCGCTTGTTACCGGGGGGGGGGGGGGGGGGGGGGAATCAAAGAGGACGGTTGAAATGCAAGAGGTGAGGGAGGAGTGACCGCCTAAAGGGACGGGAGGGAGAGTGAGCGTGAAGCGGGTGGCAGGGAAACGTATTGGGGTATTTGTGCAGGAAACATCGTCACCAAACTTGACCTTTCTGGTGGACAAAACATTTTATTCTGCCTTACTTCACACTACACCAGCAAAATAAACACACTCTGAAGAAAGAATCTTCGACGAGCTCCGGTGGCCCACAAAAATCCAGCCACCGCCGACAAGAAACTGTTCCCACGCGGCACAAGACAACAGAGAGACTGCACAACACCAGCCAATCCCACCCAACCCGAAAACAAGGCAAACACAAACGTGCCGCAGCTGCGTCTGGTTAAGCTCACGTTATTGAAGACGTACGGCAGCTCTGCCGTGTGGCACGAGCTTCCGGAGCACTCCGGGAAACCTGGGACTTCAGTGGGGTGGCTGAACTCGTACACAAACACGGGAGCGTCCCGTCCGTTTTGCTCCTGGGTTGGACCACACACGTTCCAGGAGAGATAAGAGACGGACAGACGGACGGATAGAACGAGAGGCAGAGACAGAGACAGAGACATAGAGGAAGACATAGGCAGGCCAACAGAAACGGAGACAGCGAGAGAGAGACAGAGATAGACAGAGACAGTGAGACAGACAGACACCCAGACAGACAGACACAAAGATACCCTGCAAGGAAGAAACGCGGCGGTGTTCGAGGTGCCCCGCCGAGCCTTGTGATGGGATTTGGCCACCTCCTCCTACGGCCCTGCCATCATCGCAACCACCCGTCGCCCTTCCGCCCGTCCACCCCTTCCTCCTTCACGTCGCGATTCATCAAAAGCAAAAAAACTGTGCGCACCAGTCGTGCGGGTCTGCATGATGACATCATCCTCCCGCCACCACCCTGCATCTCACCTGGAGCAGCTGGGCCGCCCGTAGGTTTGGGCAACGGAAGAGGTAGTCGTGCATGATCTGAGACATGACTCTGCGATAGTCCCCGGACTCCTCGCACTGGTCGGCCAGGTGGCCGTAGGCGCGGAGGACCCCGATCACGCTCGTCCGGAACAGCGCCGTCACGAACGAGTAGTACACCAGCTGGCGGGGGTGATGGGGGGGGGGGGGTCAGGGGAGTCGGGGGGGGGGGGGGGGGCGGGGCCCCTTTAAAACCCGGCCGAAATTTTAAAAAAATTTACCCCCCATTGGGGGAGAGGAAGAACATGCCTATTTTTTTCCGCCCCAAGGGGGGGGGGGGGGGGGGAAAAGAAAAAAAAGGGGTTTTTTTTTCCGGGAAAAGCCCCGAAGGGGGAACCCCCCCCCTTTCAAAAAAAAAAAAAAAAAAAAACCAAAACCTTTTTTTTCCCGGGGGGGGTTAAAAAAGGACAAAAGGGGTTTTAAAAAACGCCAATTTTTTNNNATAGCCTTCAAACAAGAAAATACAAACAAACACAAACACACAAACACACAGGTCGCGTATCAAGAGAGCACATAGGCGTTTACAAGACCGACGTATTTTCAATGGTCAGTCGGTCAGTGCAGTGCCTCCGACGCAAATGTTAAGAAACATAGAAACACGCGCACACATGCACAAACACGCAACCACCGGAAACTGGACCCATCGTCCAAATTCCCCGTGCCCCCCCCGCCCCCCCTGTCGTGGGAGCCCGCCGACTAGCAAAAGGTGTTCGCGTTCACATTCCTCGCAATGAGACAGACTGGCGCCTTTCCATTGGACAGCACATTCGCGAGGTTCCATGTCAAACCAAGAACACACACAAAACACAAACACAGACGCAGACACAGCACCGACACTGAAGTCTTCTCATTGGTAAGCCGGTGCGCCTGGTTCGATGCCCACAACAAACAAACACACACACACTCACGCACCTTGGGCATCGTCACCGGAAACGCTCCGTGGACGAACATGAGCCCCTCGTGCGAGTTAACCCCGAGCATCACAGGGACGGGGGGGAGCGCCTGGCCCTCATCCCTGCCCCTCCCCCTACTCATCACCCCGCGGCCCCCCGGGGCCTTAGCGGCGGAGGCGTGCTCCGCCGCCGCGGCGAGGGCTTCGAGGGGTTGGACCACGTTCATGAACGGCGCCGTGTAGTTGTGGGCCGGGCCGATGCGCGACATAGACGGCCGTTCCCTGCCGCCGCCGCCGCCGCCGCCGCCGCCAGCGGCCCCCGCCCCCTTGTGGTTGTCGCCACCATCATCGTCACCGCCGCCGCCGCCGCTGCTGCTGCTGCTGTCATCTCCTCCGTCGCTGCTGGTCTTCTTGCCCTTGGTCTTCTTGTTCTTGCCGAGACCGGTGAGCGTGACGGTGCGGCTCTCCTGGCGCTCTCTCTCCTCCGCCTCTTCCTCGTAGGTGTCGCAGTTCCACGTCTTGCGGTGCTTACCCACGTGCCTCCGGTAGTTTCGGTCTGTGATCACGGGCCCCCAGCTGTTTTGTCGTCGTCGTTGTTGTTGTTGTTGTCGGCATTCGGGTGGATGGTGGGGGCGTGGGCGGTTGAGGCTAGACAGAAGTTTGCGATAAAGTGGAAACCCGGAACAACAACAACCTCGTCTACGTGTTGTCTTGTCTTCCGAATGTGGTGCGCAAAATAAAGAAAACGGATCAACTACAAGACAATGACATGGAATCTTCACGAGGATTGTGTGACACCATACATGTGACGACCAAGGACCCGCGCGCCTGAAAGAGCGGAACAACAAACACACCGGGTAGCTGATGTTGCGCATGGTGTCTCAGACAGGCCATGGCGTAAGGCAACCAATTGTAGTTGGTCGTCAACTTTACAAGCCTACAGGCATGAAACGGCAGCCGGGCACCGACTGCCATTTGTTTTTCTATCCTGACTGCGTTAGGGTTGGGCCTATAGAGACCACTCCCAGCCGCATTCTACACCCTAACTTCCTTCCCACCGGTAATGGCAACGTGCGCCTATCGCTAATTCCCAATCTGATCGTTTGTTCGTTTTGACTGCTTGCGCCGACGACGGTGTGGTAACCCAGGCAACCGCGTGGCCACGACGGACGTGTCGCCCCCCCCCCCCCCCCCCCTGCCCCGTCCTTTCGAGGACGCGTGGTCAATGGTCTCAACCGCATGGCATGCGAAACATAATACGAGTACAGTACGCCCCCCCGTTGCTCACGTGAAGAAGTCGCCGACGCTGCGCGGCAGCCCCATGATGGACTCCTGCACGCGCATCACCTCCGAAGCCGGCTCCGTCTGGAGACAGTCCAGGCTGAAGCAGTCAAGCCCGCGCTTCATCGCCTGGCAACCGCCCCCACGTGTGTACGGGCGCGCGCCAACGTACCGTTCATTGTACACATGTATTAGGAAAAAAAAATTAACACGGAAGACGATTTGACAGAACCAACCACATGTTGAAAAACGGACGTGGCGATAAGGCTACCGACAGCACGACTCCCCGAGATTTTGTATTGCTCCCCCGGGTGAGAAAAAATACGAACAAATGAAAAACGAGGACAGCCGTTACAGCACAGAACACACGGTGCCTATATCGATACACGAGATGATGCAGCAGCACTGCTTTACCACACACGCACAACTGGGTGGACTACTTGTATGGCGACGGATCGCATACAGATGACGAGTAGAACCGCCCCCCCCGCGCCCCCCGACAGAACGAATGTCGACGCCTGATGACTCGACAACGAGAATCAAAATTAGGCACCGTGCGTTCTGTACATGCGATCCCATGCCTTGACCCTGGGAGCGCCTTTTCCGTCACAGGAGCTTCCCCGAAGGTAAACCTTAACCTCCGTCTCTGGGCATTCAACCATCTTGTTGCAGAGCATACCGACGCAAAAAGCTTGGGGGGTGAGTGAATGTGAGGCAGGAGGGGGGGGGGGGTACTGCACCCCCTGCCGCAGTGGCGTTGCTCCCCCAAGCCCGAGGAAAGGGAACGCTACAGTAGGACCAAGATGGCCAGCGCTGGACCCTCTCCTCCGAGGAGCAAAACCAAAAACGCCTCACCTCGCCCAAGAAGTTTGCAACGGTGACCGACCGGAACCGGTAACCCATGGGGTTGCTCTGCATCACGACCTGATCTCCGGAGAAGAAGAACGGAAAAAAAAAGAAGGTGAGAATAGAGCGTTGGCAAGGGGAGAGGCATGCGTGCCACTGCTGTCGATCAAACGGGACAGGCTAAGAAAAGACGACGCCCCTTCGGCACAGCAATCTCCGCGTTCCGGTGGCCCAGCTGCGTGGAGAGTCACGGTTTACTTCAATAGCACGAGATGTTCGATCGTTTGCACTTGGGTCCGGTTCACAAGGCCGTCCACTTCCACCAAGGCTGTTGAGGCTGCCACTACGCAACTACTCCGGCCCTGTCTGTCGCGCGGAAAAAAAATATCAGCCCACTGCTACATGCCCTCGCCTGTTGGAACAGCACCCCCGCCCCGTCCATGTGCAGGTGCTGCCCGATGGACATGGCGCCGGCGGACTCCCCGAACAGGGTCACACGCCCGGGATCACCGCCGAAGCTGGCCACGTTGTCGTGCACCCACTCCAGCCCGAGCCGTTGATCCTGGGTTCAGACGAAAAAAAAAATGAGAGTTTTGGGTGTTTGGACCATGTCGACACGTGAGTGGGACCCGCTCCTTTGAGCATGGGGTTTGGTCGTTCTCAAGCCAACAAGCAGCCAGTCGGCTACTGAGCGTAAACGTCACTGGAGTCGTTGCCTACCTGCTGTTTTCGCGCGCCCCTCGACGCACGATGCACAGCAGGAAGTCATCCTTGCCCGTTTCAAGTAAAAACCGCACTATGTATATGCATACGATCCCCACTACTACGATGTTAAGTGGCACGTGTGAGAGTGTGAGTTTCGAAAGCAAGATAAGAGGTATTACTGCTGTACCTCGACGCTCGACAGCACACAAGAGGACAAGAACACGAATGCAACGTGCATACTCAACATCCCCCCCCCCCCCCCCCCCCGCCGGGGTCCCATCCGCTGATGTCCTTTGTTTCTGC